CCATACCATTCTGGATTTTAAAAGGCTTTAAACATTTCTACACTCCTCTTGGAAATCCCAAATAAACAACTTCTGTGCACTCCCTTCCCAGCTGCTCAGAGACACGGAGGGTGCAGTATGTTCCTCAGTTGCTAGATCCTTGGTAGGCAAGGGAGTGTCCAGTTACAGCCCTCTGTGATGGGAGAGGTGCGTCTGAAGTCTCATTTGAGCAACAGTCTTCATGTGGTCACTCCTGCTGATTCTGGGACAGCAGTGAACACACCTTTCTTAGAGGCAGGTAGGCGTGCTGATTGCCCTTTCTGAATACAGAAAGCAAAATATTTCTCCTTTACCCCACCCGTCTTATGCATGCATACAAGGGAAACAATTATTTTCAGCCATCTTCAAAGCAGGGTGTTTTTAAAGAATGTAAAAATGAACCTCGAATGCTTTCTTTTGCAGTTTCCTGACTGAATTTCTTGTTGAAATATTTGAGCAAGCTAGTATGCAGGCCTTGGATCTATGTGTTTTTATTTATTGTTGTTGTTCAGTTGTCCAGTGGTGTCCAACTCTGCGACCCCATGGACTGCAGCCCACCAGGCCTGCCTGTCCCTCACCATCTCCTGGAGTTTGCACGAGTTCATGTCCGTTGTTTTTATTTATACTTCCAATTAATTGCTGCACTTATTTCTGTTTATACTCCCAGTTGATTGTTGTGTTATTGTCTTAACTTGGTTTCTTTTGAAAGCACAAAACATCACTTTGATTTTCTGCCATGTTTAAAATCCACAGTAAGTCAGGGTTGCTGTATGAGGGAAGGTCCTGGCATCTCTGAAGCTTGGGTACTAAGCTGGCTTCATGGGATCCTTTGGGTGGCCTTCTCAGCATCGACTTGCACTTTTTCTTTTCAATCTAGTGGCCGAGCAGGCAGAATCCATTGACAACCCATTGCATGAAGCTGCAAAAAGAGGTAGGTGTGATTCTTTTCGATTGAGATAAATAGTACAGTAAAACACACAGATAATAATTATATAGTTTGATGACTTTTGACGAATGTATACACCCGTGTAACCAACACCCAGGTCAAGATCCGGAACATTTGCATTATCCCAGAAAGTTCCTTTCCCAGTTAAATCCTTGCCTCCCACAAAGGCAGTCTCCATTCTGCCTTCTTTCACTCTACAGAAATGTGGGATTTTAATTTTTACCATGTCAACAAATACTTTGGAGCCCCTTACCTGCTCTGTGCTTAGTGGCAAGTGAAAGGCATGGTCTGTGACTTTCAGAGCTTCGAATCTGGCGGGGAGAGGTGTGTGTAGCACATCTTTACAAGACATTGTGATAAGGACACTGGTTGAAGTGTGGGTCAGTTAAACAGGCTATAGAGGCCAGAGTGAGTAACTGGCCTCACTCTGGGCAGAGGGTTGGGCCTTCTCAGGGGTCCAGGCTCTGAGAGAGTGTTGGTGAAGGGCTGGTATGTATGGGAGGGTGGACTTGGGGAGGAAGGGAGCACCAGAGATGGGATTTGTATTGGGCTGGCCAAAAAGTGTTTGGATTTTTTCTGTAAGATGTTATAGAGTACATGGGACTTGATCCTGTTGATCAGCGGTTCTCCACTGAAGAGTAATTCCTCTCTCCAGACTTCGGGACATTTGGCAATATCTGGAGGGATGCTGGCACCTTTTGGGTACAGGCTGGGGGTGTCACTCGACACCCTGCAGTGCAAAATACTGCTCCCGTAACAGAGACTCCTCCAGGCCAAATGTCAGCTGGACCACTGTTGAGAACCCTGCCCTAGATAATGGGGAGTTTTTGTCAGGCTACAGTAAGCTCCCATTTAATTTAGGTTTTATTGAAATCTGAATATATGAAAGGAAATTATTGGTTTAGGATTATGCAGAAATAGAACCACTAAATTGACATTTAAAATTTTCTAGATATTAAAAAAAAATTTTTTTTTAAAGTAGATATTTAGGGCATTTAGCCAGAGGATTTTAAATTAATAGCTATACTTTAGCATAAAGAACAGCACTTTGAGTAGTTATTTAGTTTTTATGTCCTTGTAGGAACTGAAAGTGTGTTTTAAATATGAATATGAGTAGTGTCTGCTTGTTCTTAGGTTTGATTTTTTTCCCCCCCTCAAAGTTTTAGGATTTCACAAAGGAAAAACAGTTTTTTCTACAGTGTAAAAATACCTTAGGTAGACCCATTTTAGCAACTGTTCCCATTAACCTACCATTAAAAATTGATGTTAATGCTTTCCATTAATAAACTGGAAGTCAAGATGTACCATAGAGAATGCATTACAAGGGCAGGTTTTTAATTTCAGACTTGCTGACTAATCCTTTGCAAATACAAATTTATGCAGGATGAAATTGATTTAAAAGCAAAACAAAACAAAACAATGAAAAAAATGTTTCATGTGTTTTTCTAATTCTAAAACATTTTCAGGCAACTTGAGCTGGTTGAGAGAGTGTTTGGACAACCGAGTGGGTGTTAACGGCTTGGACAAAGCTGGAAGCACTGCCCTCTACTGGGCTTGTCACGGGGGTCACAAAGGTATTAGTACATTTTGTTTGTTACCGTAAATGTCTTTGCCACTAAAAATGTGCTTCATCGAGGGGAGCCACAGTTACAGAAATGAGAGAGAAAAATCGGTTATTCTCTTTAGATTCTTCAGAACATCAGCCTTTTAAAAGTCCAGTTCCTGAAAGTTCTGTAAAACTGTAGCTGGAATGTGACTGGTCAGCCTCACTGTGGGCACCTTTTCACTTAAAAGAGTGGAAGCTTCCTTTCCTCTCTGGCTTGGAAGAGCAACAGGAAAGCAACAGTAATATAAAAACAAAGCCCACTGTCTAACCTCACGGAAGCAAGGGCCACAGTTGACTCCTCTAGCTTAGTTTATCCTCCACAGCTTTTATGATTTACGTTCTAAGTTTAAGATTTAAGAGAAAGACAGTATTTGCTTGAGTTGGTGATTCAGTTGATAACTTTCTCTCTTATAATCAATAATAATGAGAGATGGAATTTCTAGATGTATTTCAGCCTGGCTGAGAATCTACCACAACCCACTCTCTTGCTCCCTCTCTCTACAACACACAGAAAATAATCCCAACAGTAACGGGAAACAAAGAATCCAAGAAATTAAATAGCACGGCCAAAGGAAAATATAAGCACAAATTAGTGATAAGAGTGTTAAGTACCCCAGCAAATGTAAAAATATTCCTATCATAGATATCATGTGAAAATGCAAAAGCCAAAATATTTGAAAAAAAATTTCCCTAAATAATTCTATTTTTTTGAGTCTTAAGTCTTCTATTTACATAAATGTTGAAAAATTTGTTATAAGGAGTTTTTTAAAGATTCTTCTAAAAAGAATCCTTTTAAAATTATTATGCAGAGTCTTATCAGGCTTTTATTCCCATTCTTTAAAAAAGATTATTTCTATTTGAATTTCAGATATAGTAGAAATGCTGTTTACTCAACCAAACATTGAACTGAACCAACAGGTGAGTTTGCTTACGCAGAAATCATTTAACCCGCCTGCCTTGCTCTCAAAGTACAGATTATAGGTGTGTAAAATCCTGTCTTGAGGTCTTGGAACTCAACTTTTTCCATTTATTATCTTCCATAAAACTTTTAATCTAAATACTTCAAGCACATAGTTAAAAGTTATTTTTGCATTGAAGTGCAAACTGTATAAAGCTCAAAATGCCTACCATGTTCCTCCTCGTGTATCACTTTAAGCTTTTAGTGCTTTCCTCTTATCTTCACATTACTGAGAAATATGTTTGTGGAGCTGTCTCATAATTCACCATCTTCATAAGTGTTTTGACATCCTATCTGGTAGGTAGCAATTCATGCTTGTCAACAGCCTGTCATCTTCCACCACCCAACTTCCAATCTTTCCTCCTTTGGTTCTCCTAATATATCATATCATAATTTTTGGTTATATTACTATGTAATGCTCATGGTATTATGGCTGTTTTAATATTGTCGCTGTTTATATCATTTCTTTTGTTTCTGTATTTATAGCCTTTTATTTAGGACTTTATTTTTTGAAGTCCTTTGTCTTTTGACAAAGACCTCTACACTGTTTTATACTCTCTTAATATACTTTTCTAAAATGTATTTGATAGTTGCTTTCTTGTTTTTCTTCCTGGAATCATACTGAAGGCCTCCATCTTCATTCTCTGATTGGAGCAGCTTGATCTCGACGGCTCTTTGATGTCTTCCTGGGAAACCTTTCACCGCCCTCCTGTGTTGTGTCCTCACTTTTCTGAATCCTGTGTCTTCCATTAGTTGAAGAACACGTTCAATAGATTCCTGAGAAAGGGGAGCTTGGGCTTGATTATTTGGCTGATAGAATCTGGGTTGAATTGCTCTGTGTTTTTGAGCATGTACAGTAATAATTCAGCAGTCTTTTTCAGCCACCGACTGCCCCACTGTTTGGCCTGAGCACACCTGCCAACTTCACCATGGTGACGACAGAGTGGCCCAGGTTGCTTCTGTAAAGCAACATTCTTCCCCTGCTTGGTGGCTTTTTGGATATGCATGCCCTTGGTGGCCTGGGCAGTTTCACAAGTGTTCTGAAAGTGAACATGAAGATCGGAACCTCTTGATTTGCATGATTTCCGGGTTTTTCCGGGTTTTCCCTGTTTTTCCGGCTCAGGTGAATAGGGAACCATTTTTAGAGGTTACTGCAGGCTGCTTACCAGTTAAGTATTTATATACATATTTTAAAACATTTCCTGCTATTCCCCATACTGTATCTTTTCCCTCTGAGATCTGTTAGTTTTGTTTTGATCTTTCTTCAAGTACAGGACACAAATACATAGCGCCTCAGATACACAGGGCCTTTGTCCATTCATGTTTGGGTGTGACTAGAAGCTCTGTGTGCTTGTGGGGCTTACTGACTGGTGGGTTTCTCTGTAGGGTGAAGGGTGAGGTCCTCACTGTTTTTCTGGCTTATGCCCAGATGCCAGCTAAAACAGTTACTTCCTCCTCTCTGTTGGGGCTGTTCAGCTCTATCAGAGCAGCATTCTCCAGCCTCCCTCCTGGGGGTAGATGCTAGACTGTACACACTGGGGCTCTGTGTGTGTGTGTGTGAACACACTGGGGCAGTGGGGTATGTATGTGTGTGTATGTACAAACTGGGGCAGTGGGTGTGTGTATGTGTGTACACACCAGGGCAGTGGGGTGTGTGTGTGTGTGTGTGTGTATGTACAAACTGGGGCAGTGGGGTGTGTGTGTGTGTGTACACACCAGGGCAGTGGTGTGTGTGTGTGTGTGTGTGTGTGTGTGTACAAACTGGGGCAGTGGGGTGTGTGTGTGTGTGTGTGTACACACGCCAGGGCAGTGGGGTGTGTGTGTGTGTGTGTATGTACAAACTGGGGCAGTGGGGTGTGTGTGTGTGTGTGTGTATGTACAAACTGGGGCAGTGGGGTGTGTGTGTGTGTGTGTATGTACAAACTGGGGCAGTGGGGTGTGTGTGTGTGTGTGTACACACCGGGGCAGTGGGGTGAGGGTCTGTGGGGTAGGCAAAGGCAGCTGGCAGTGGGGTCTTACTGCGCAGTGTGTCGGTTCTTCAGCTAGCCCCCTGCTTTTAATTCCTGGCCTCATTACCACCTTCTCTTACGCCTCCAAGTTCCATAAGCTTGGAAACTGTCTGGTTAACTTCAAAATATGGTAATTCTACCATCTGTGCTGGGTCATCTGTCAGCAAGGAGAGAGAAAGGTGATCTGGGGCTTGGGGGTTCTAATTACTCCGTAGAAACACTTGCACCCAGTACTCTTGGTTTCACTGCCATGCCTCCTTCCTGCTCCCGAGTCTCCAGTTTCTCATTCATGCTGGTTTCTCCGGGGACAGATCTGCTCGCTTCCCCCGGTATCTCCCACTGTGAGCATCTGCATTCCCACGTGTGCTCTGCCAGTCAGTTGCTCCTCCGCCATCGCATTCCCTCTCCCCATGTGACTCATGGCTCATCTCTTAAGTCTCTTTTCCCTCTTTGGAATTTTATATCGTTTTGTCACTTTGTTCTCATTTTAGATTTACTTAGGCTAGAGTAAACCTCAATTTGTGTATATTTGCAACCCTCAGTCTCTTTTATAAAAATGCTGCTCTCTCTTGTTGTCACCATAGAACAAGCTGGGAGACACAGCTTTGCATGCCGCTGCCTGGAAGGGTTATGCAGATATTGTCCAGTTGCTTCTGGCAAAAGGTAAAGTGCTTAGTTTATCTGATCTTGGATAACTCTGAAAATCAAACTCCATCGAACTACACCATTTAAAAATAGTGGGGAAAATAATGGGCTTCTTATTTTACAGCCGGGATTTTGATCTCTGTCTGCATCATGGAGTTTTTCTGATAAGATAAAATTATTGAGGTGGTATCTGTTTTTCATTTTAAACTTTGGTAAGCTTTAACAATATATATGTTACTTTTAGTAAGAATTTATTTTTCTGCAGGATTTAATCCTACATTTCTGCAGGATTAAAAGGACCTAGAAGGAAGGTGTGTGTGTGTGTGTGTTTACATACACGTGTGTGCACACATACAGAGGAGCTCTCTCGAGAAAACTGTGTGGGTAAAGTTGCTGAGGCCCCAGATTCTCACAGGCAAGTCTTCATTAGATAAGAAAGGATGCTGTGGCATAGTGTCCTACTTTGAGCTGAGCAGGTGCTCAATGTATAGCAAATGAGAAGATGCCTTGATTCCATGTTTTTACACAAGTCAGAAGGAACAGTGAAATAATGGACTCAACCATCTATTCATCTGTTTGTCCTACAAGGTTTAGTTAACCCTTATAAGGGGCCAGGGATATCACCACACACTGCACCCTGGTCTAGAAGGCTATAATATAGGATACTTGAGTTCCCAGCCTGCATGTCATGTGGATGTACTATCATTAGGGATCCTCGGAGCAATGTTGTGAGTTTTTGATTTGAAGTTTGTTGATGATGTAAACTCTAGGAATAAGAGATTAGACACCTTGATGACCTCTGTAGTACCCCTCAAAAGTATGCCAAGAGATGTGTTGTCTGCTACAGCAGTCACTAACCACACAGGCTGCTGAGCTCTTGAGGTGAGGCTAGTCTCAATTGAGATGAGCTAGAAGTGGAAAATGAACATCAGGTTTTGAAAACCTAGTGCGGAAAAAAAAGTGATGTATCAATAATTTTTATATTGGTTACATGATGAAGTGATAACATTTTGCATATACTGGGTTAAGTAAAATATGTTATTTAAATGAGTTTTATGTGTTGAAAATGCTGCCACTAGAAAAATTTAAATTACATCTATGGCTCACATAATTTTCTGTTGGGCAGCACTGGCTGAAAATTGTTTTCTTCTCTGGCATCCTGTCTCTGAACATATCCCATCCTGACAGAAATCACGTATGTGAGTTCTCAAGTGTAAAGTAAGATAGGATTAATCACAGAACTGTGAACCTGCAGGGTGTTTGACCTGTGGCACAGCAAGAGAATGAGGTTTTCCATATAACCCCAGCTGTGGATGGATCTCAGGCTCTTCACGAGAGATCTTTCACACACAATCACCATATTCCTAATTAAATGCACTTTCTCTCTCTTTTTCTTTTGTCTTTTTTTCCTGTTTTTTTTTTTCCTTTCTTGGCGATATTTTTGTGCATGTGAGTTTTAGCATATTTATTTTTTGTTTACCAAAGAGGATGTGGTTGTAGAGAAAAGGGCACTCTCAAACACTGTGGCAGAAAGTGCAAATTGGTAAGCCTTCTTGGAAGGCAATCTGACAATAGCTAACAGAGTGAAAACAGACATATCCTTATATTTCAACACTACTTCTAGAAAAACATCCTTCAGAAATACATAAAAGATGTATTTCAAGGAAGTTCATGGCAGTATTGTTGTGATAATGAATATTAGACTCTAAGTGCCCCTCAGAGAGGAGTGGTTAAATAAATGTTGGAACATCCACAAAATGGATTAATTATCAGTGTTTAAATAGATTGAGTTATAAGTATGTGTACTACTAAGGAACAAATAGCATGATATATTGTTAGGTTAAAAAAACCAAAACTAGTATGGCAGAGGCCAACACAATATTGTGAAGCAATATTCTCAAATCAAAAAAAACATCAAAGATATTGGTTATGAGTGAGGAGAGGGAAGAGGGAAGGATAAAACAGAGCTAGGGGATTAAAAGGCACAAAGTACTGTGTATAATAATAACTATAAATGGAATATAACCTTTAACATTTGTGAATCACTATTGTATGACTGAAGCATATAGTATTATACATCAACCATACATCCGTTTTTTAAAATGGAAAATACCACTGGCAAAAAAAAAAATGCATCAAATTACAGACCAATACCTGTAGTATGATTTTGTGTATGTGTCCACGAATGTCTGTGAATGCACTCTTGCATGTAAGGGAGATGGGAACTGATGCCCACTTGTTGGGAATGGTCACCTGTTGTGGAAGGTAGAAGATGGGGAAGGAAGGGGTTAGTTGAGAGCTGAAATGAGACATAAGCTTTTGTTTAGCATATGTCTGTATTTCCAAATCTTTGACAATGAGAATATATTTATGAATTTTGATATAATTTATAATAAAGATGGGGAAAAAGTGAGTGGAAGATGGGCTATGCAAACAATGGATTGCCTCCAGATTTCAAGGTTTACTAATTCTGCTAATAATGTTTGAAAGTATACTTAAGATAAATATTAATCTCCTCAAGATCAACTCACATCATCTTTTCTAAAGACCTTCTTGAACAAAAGAGGCAAAGGGTGTATTGCAAGGCACGTTGAGTCTAACTGATCTAGTGTTGTACATGGAGACTGTAGACTTCTCAGGGAAAACTTCATGTGCAGTTCTACAGGGACTTGAAAGGAAAGGCTGTATTTCAATTGTATATAATTATTACAGATGCAGCAGTAAGCTCCCTGATTAAAGATGCCAAATATGCTATTGCTGTTTCGTGAAAGTTTTACTGAAAGAGCTTACTTCAGGGCCAGATGATTCTGTTGTTAGTTTTGCCAAAAGCAGTGTTTTGATGGAAAGAGGATTGGCTGCTCTATAACTAACATCATTACTGTTTGTTATATAAGAAAGTAAAGAGAGTAAATCCTAAGAGTTCTCATCACAAGGAAGACATTTTAAAATATTTTTAAAATTTTGTATCTATATGGGATGACGGGTGTCCACTCAACTTGTGATAATCATTTCATGATGTTTGAAAGTCAAATCATTATGCTGTGTGCCATAGGCTTATAGTGTTGTGTGTCAGTTATATCTCAGTATACCTTGAAGAAAGGAAAAAGAGGAAAAAGAAACTTAAAAAGAAAAAAAAATGATTGGCTGCTACTATAGAGTCTTCAAAACACCTAATTTCCTTTCTTGTGTTGGGGAAGGTGCTAGAACAGACTTAAGAAACAACGAGAAGAAGCTGGCCCTGGACATGGCTACTAATGCTGCCTGCGCCTCTCTCCTGAAAAAGAAACAGGGAACAGGTACTTGATTTTAATCCTTTTCCCTCATAATGCCGTCACAACTTAAGATTTTATCGATTCAATATTGGGGAAAGTTTTTTCTTGCTGAATTCTACAGGTGATCCTAGAGTTAGATTTTATATTCTTGGTCTGAATCAGAACCTCCAACATGGACAAATATATCTGCACAAACAAATTTGTAGAGACATTGATCTTTTGCTGTGATTAGTATGTTTCTTTTACTCCTTGCAATCAAGTTCTAATTACCTTGCTTTCTATTGTATTTATATATATAAAGAAATATTTCTATTTCTTTTTATCAAAGAACCATTGCTTCCATACTCTTGTTTTAGATTATGTTTTTTTTTTAGATTTTTTTAGATTTAGATTTTAGATTTTTTGATTGAAGGATAATTGCTTTACAGAATTTGTGGTTTTCTGTCCTACATCAACAAGAATCAGCCATAGGTATACGCATGTCCCGTCCCTCCCAGACCTCCCTCCCGTCTTTCTCCCCACCCCACCCTTCGGCCTGTCACAGAGCACATCTCCCCTTCTCCCTCCTCTCCGCCCACCTTGTCCATAGGTCTGTTCTCTATGTCTGTTTCTCCATTGCTGCCCTGAAACTAAATCCATCAGTGCCATCTCTTCAGATTCCATATGTATGTGTCAGTATATGATATTTATATTTCTCTTTCTGACGTATTTCACTCTGTATAATGGGCTCTAGTTTCGTCCACCTCATTAGAACAGATTCAAATGCATTCCTTTTTTACGGCCGAGTAGTATTCCATTGTACCACACCTTCTTTATCCATTCATCTGGTCCATGTTCTAGCTATTGTAAATAGTGCTGCAGTGAACACTGGGGTACTTGTGTCTTTTTCAGTTTTGATTTCCTCAGGGTGTATGTCTAGGAGTGGGATTATTGTGTCATATGGTGGTTTTATTCTTCACTTTTTAAGGAGTCTCCATACTGTCTTCCATAGTGATTGTATTAGTTTACATTCCCACCGGAAATGCAAGGGTGTTCCCTTTTCTCCACACCCTCTCCAGCATTTATTGTTTATAGACTTTTTGATGATGGCCATTCTGACTGGTGTGAGGTGGTATCTCATTGTAGTTTTGATTTGCATTTCTCTAGTAATGAGAATAATTATTACAGATGCAGCAGTAAGCTCCCTGATTAAAGATGCCAAATATGCTATTGCTGTTTCGTGAAAGTTTTACTGAAAGAGCTTACTTCAGGGCCAGATGATTCTGTTGTTAGTTTTGCCAAAAGCAGTGTTTTGGTGGAAAGAGGATTGGCTGCTCTATAACTAACATCATTACTGTTTGTTATATAAGAAAGTAAAGAGAGTAAATCCTAAGAGTTCTCATCACAAGGAAGACATTTTAAAATATTTTTAAAATTTTGTATCTATATGGGATGACGGGTGTCCACTCAACTTGTGATAATCATTTCATGATGTTTGAAAGTCAAATCATTATGCTGTGTGCCATAGGCTTATAGTGTTGTGTGTCAGTTATATCTCAGTATACCTTGAAGAAAGGAAAAAGAGGAAAAAGAAACTTAAAAAGAAAAAAAAATGATTGGCTGCTACTATAGAGTCTTCAAAACACCTAATTTCCTTTCTTGTGTTGGGGAAGGTGCTAGAACAGACTTAAGAAACAACGAGAAGAAGCTGGCCCTGGACATGGCTACTAATGCTGCCTGCGCCTCTCTCCTGAAAAAGAAACAGGGAACAGGTACTTGATTTTAATCCTTTTCCCTCATAATGCCGTCACAACTTAAGATTTTATCGATTCAATATTGGGGAAAGTTTTTTCTTGCTGAATTCTACAGGTGATCCTAGAGTTAGATTTTATATTCTTGGTCTGAATCAGAACCTCCAACATGGACAAATATATCTGCACAAACAAATTTGTAGAGACATTGATCTTTTGCTGTGATTAGTATGTTTCTTTTACTCCTTGCAATCAAGTTCTAATTACCTTGCTTTCTATTGTATTTATATATATAAAGAAATATTTCTATTTCTTTTTATCAAAGAACCATTGCTTCCATACTCTTGTTTTAGATTATGTTTTTTTTTTAGATTTTTTTAGATTTAGATTTTAGATTTTTTGATTGAAGGATAATTGCTTTACAGAATTTGTGGTTTTCTGTCCTACATCAACAAGAATCAGCCATAGGTATACGCATGTCCCGTCCCTCCCAGACCTCCCTCCCGTCTTTCTCCCCACCCCACCCTTCGGCCTGTCACAGAGCACATCTCCCCTTCTCCCTCCTCTCCGCCCACCTTGTCCATAGGTCTGTTCTCTATGTCTGTTTCTCCATTGCTGCCCTGAAACTAAATCCATCAGTGCCATCTCTTCAGATTCCATATGTATGTGTCAGTATATGATATTTATATTTCTCTTTCTGACGTATTTCACTCTGTATAATGGGCTCTAGTTTCGTCCACCTCATTAGAACAGATTCAAATGCATTCCTTTTTTACGGCCGAGTAGTATTCCATTGTACCACACCTTCTTTATCCATTCATCTGGTCCATGTTCTAGCTATTGTAAATAGTGCTGCAGTGAACACTGGGGTACTTGTGTCTTTTTCAGTTTTGATTTCCTCAGGGTGTATGTCTAGGAGTGGGATTATTGTGTCATATGGTGGTTTTATTCTTCACTTTTTAAGGAGTCTCCATACTGTCTTCCATAGTGATTGTATTAGTTTACATTCCCACCGGAAATGCAAGGGTGTTCCCTTTTCTCCACACCCTCTCCAGCATTTATTGTTTATAGACTTTTTGATGATGGCCATTCTGACTGGTGTGAGGTGGTATCTCATTGTAGTTTTGATTTGCATTTCTCTAGTAATGAGTGATGTTGAGCATCTTTTCATGTGCATAGCCACCTGTATGTCTTCTTTGGAGAAATGTCTCTTCATGTCCCTTTCCCTCTTTTTGATTGGGTTGTTTGCTTTTTTGGTATTGAGTTGTATAAGCTGCTTATATATTTTGGAAATTAATTCTTCATCAGTTGTTTCCCTTGCTATTATTTTCTCCCATTCTGAGGGTTGTCTTTTCACCTTGTTTGTAGTTTCCTTTGCTGTGCAAAAGCATTTAAGCTTAGTTAGATCCCACTTGTTTATTTTTGTTTTTAATTTCCATTACTCTAGGAGCTGGGTCATAGAAGATCTTGCTTTGAATTATGTCACTGAGTGTTCTGCCTATGTTCTCCTCTAAGAGTTTAATAGTTTCTGGTCTTACATTTAGGTCTTTAATCCATTTTGAGTTTATGTTTGTGTATAACATTAGGTAGTGATCTAATTTCACTCTTTTGCACATAGCTGTCCAGTTTTCCCAGCACCACTTATTGAAGAGGCTGTCTTTGCCCCATTGTATATTCTTGCCTCTTTTGTCAAAAATAAGATACCCATAGGTGCATGGGTTAGTCTCTGGGTTCTCTTATCTCGTTCCACTGGTGGCCAGAATTTTGGAGTTTCAGCTTCAGCATCAGTCCTTCCAATGAACACCCAGGACTGATCTTCTTTAGGATGGACTGGTTGGATCTCCTTGCTGTCCAAGGGGCTCTCAAGAGTCTTCTCCAACACCACAGTTCAAAAGCATTAATTCTTATGCACTCAGCTTTCTATAAAGAAAGTCCAACTCTCACATCCATACATGACTACTGAAAAAACCTTGACTAGATGGACCTTTGTTGACAAAATAATGTCTCTCCTTTTTAATATGCTAGGTTGGTCTAGGTTGTTAACTTTCCTTTCAAGGAGTAAGGTTTTATGAGTGGTTATTGCTGAATATTTTTTATTTATGTATTCAAGAGTTTTATGATTATAATTTGTTTCTGTTGTAAATGATGGTATCAATAGGCTGTGATCAAAATTATTCTAGACTTTGGAAACTTATCTGTTCACAGTTCTGTGGGTGGTTTTTAAAGATAGAGTGTATGATCTCAAAGATAATATCTATTGATGTGGGAGAAGAGGTTTGAAAAGTTTACATGCACTTCTATAAAAGTGAATGGTTTGGTGGTTTTGAAAAGGTGTTAAAAGAAAGAAAAGGTGTTAAACACATTTGTGCTATTCATGATACTAATCAGAAACTGGCTGTTTATTTGACTTCTCAGTATGTAGCCTATTGAATGTGCCCCTCCAGATTCATTCTAATATGGTGATTTTCCAGAAAGGAGTGCTAGAAGGAGTAGAAGGATGTGCCTTGAACCCATCTTCCCATCCATCTCTCCTTTGTCCCTCTTTCATTCTTCATTAGCCTCCTGGCCCATGAGAAACCCAGAGGGGTATAAAAAAAGATGCTTGGTTGGAGAGAACATTTGAACTCAGTCCCCCTGCATTGGGAGCATTGAGTCTTAGCCACTGGACTGCCAGGGGAGTCCCATGGATACATTTTTACTACTGTTTTCTAGAAAGGAACTATACTTAGTCGCTCAGTTGTGTCTGACTCTTTGTGACCCCATGGACTGCAGCCCACCAGGCTCCTCTGTCCATGGGGATTCTCCAGGCAAGAATACTATAGTGGGTTGCCATTCCCTTCTCCAGGGAATCTTCCCAACCCAGAAATCAAACTGGGGTCTCCTGCACTGCAGGCAGTTTCTTTACCAGCTGAGCTTCTGGGGGGGAGGTGCAGGGGAGGTGGGCGGTGGTGGGCAAAAATGGAAGACTTAACTTTTGCATGTGTTCACATTGCTACTCATCATTCTGGACTTTTTTTAGTATTGCTTTAGAGTCCAAAGTTTAGTCTGATCCATGTTGGTGGAGAATCACCAAAACAACTTTTTAAGAAATTTCCATTATAGAGGACAAGTGCATGTGTTTTCATTTTATCCGTAGGGTATTATCATTTTCAGAGTTCTCAAACTTGCGTCAATGAGATATTCATTTCTGTTTTAATCATTTGAATCAAATTCCCATTCATGTTTGAATTCTTGGGAAACTTATTTCTCCCTCAGGTATCCCTTGATATATGAGAAGAGTCAATATTATGCTGTCCCATAGTCCATTTCTAGCAGAATCAACAAAGTACAGTCAGTTGCCTGGTCTCCTGGCTTCATCAGTCAAAAAAAGCAAACAGCCTGCCTCTCTTCTTGGCTTACCAAGGGTGCTTCCCAGAATCATCCTTCTTGCATACATGTGTGCTAAGTTGCGTTAGTCATGTCTGAGTCTGTGCAACCCTTTGGACTATAGCCTGCCAGGCTCCTCTGTCCTTGGAATTCTCCAGGCAAGAATACTGGAGTGGGTTGCATGTCCTCCTCCAGGGGATCTTCCCTTCCCAATGTTTGAACACATATCTCCAATGTCTCCTGCTTTGGCAGGCAGTTCCTTACCACTAGTGCCACCTGGGAAGCCCCATCATCTTCCTTACTTATCACCAAATTCTCATCATAATTCTCCTCACAAATCCATTGCTATTTCAGATAAGTGTTTGTTCCAGATTTTTATTTAACCTCAGTTCAGGTATAGTATAAACTATTAAGCAGTTAGGGATTTCTTAATTATTTAAGCCATGAATGTTCACTGGCAGAGCAAGTCATTCTTTAAAGAAATTACTCATGCGTAGATATATACAGGTTCTACTAACCAAGTAAGAAAGTTTTTACCAGCTGAGTGGTGCTCCCCAGCAATGTTTTGACCAAGAAGCCATATTTGAAGCCATGTGGGAGAGACCATTTTATTTGAGGTAGACCTCCCACTCCCTGCTGCCTTGGTTGAGTCAGGAAGAAAGACTGTGACCTAATTTCCTTTCTCTGTCGCTGACTTCCTATTGCTATATTAGCACCTCCAAAGCATCCTGACTGAGGAGTACCAATTTCTTATGAGTTAAAGGTTATCAGTCTCATACACACTGTGTGTGATTGTGATAGACAAGGAGAATATCCCACCTGCTCAGACCCCAGAGAGCTACACCTAAAAGGCTCCACATGAGCAGCTTGAGCAGGAAGGAGCAGGTGACAAAACTTTTCTCTTTTTTCCCTTCGGTTTTTTTGTAGCCTTTGTAGAAGAGGGCCTGGAGGTAGATGCCCTTTTCCCCTGTCTGCTCCAAGTATCTTCAGTCTACCTCCCCAAATCTGTGCAATGCTGAATTCAGTATTGAGGTGTAATCTTGGGACCTGGCACACAGAACCAAGAAATGAATTTTCCTATTTCAGTTTTCATATTACCTTTTTCTCTGCTTTTTTTTCCTCCTTCATTCCCCTAGTCATCCAGTTAAAGTTTTTTTAATTTGTATTTTGATCCTAGTTGGAATAAGAGCTTGAATTCTGGGTCATACAGGTAATTGCCAATATGAACTCTAAACTAGAAAAGGTATATTTTCATATTGTTGGCCACTTTTGAAAGTACCTCTTGAATTTCTTAAAGGGACAAGATAATTTACATGCTCCAATAACATGAAGAATAACTTTAGGACATAGGGGTAGGGTCAGGCCATGATTGTGGACTGAACTTTGAACCATTAAGTTGTTCTTCCAGTTTTTAAAAGCTGCGGTATAATTTACACTAACTAAAATACATAAATCCTAACTGAACATCTTGATGATTTTTTTTTTTTTTACTGTGCTTTGCTTTTTTTTAAAAAAATTCATTAACCTGGTTTAATTCACACTGAAATTTTGTTGTTGTTGTTGTTTTTGGCTGCATCATGAGGCTTGTGGGGATCTTAGTTCCCCCATCAGGAATTGAACCTGGGCCCCAGAAGTTGAAGTGCAGAGTTCTAACCACTGAATGGTCAGGGAATTCCCACTGTGCTTACGCTTATTAACCACAACCCCGATCAAGACGGAGGACATGTCCCACATCCCAGAAGCCTCCCTCAGCATCCCCTGCTTCTCTCACCATAGATTAGTTTTGCCTGTTTTCGGACTTGATATAACTGGAATCAAACAGTATGTGATTTTTGGTGTCTAACTTCTTTCATGTAACACGTCTATGAGATTTATCCACGTTGTGTTTTTCTCTCCATCATTTATTTATTCATTTGTATGTCTGTCTTAAGTTCTGGTGCTTGACTTGGAACATGTAATCCAGGGCAGTGAGATTGAGGAAAAAATGGAAGTGAGGTAGGGGAGGCTGAGAAACACTGTTGGGAGGTACATTACCATGATGGTGACGCCCCAGGATGGGCTGTGAAGATGCAGCTCATCATCAGCACTTGGCTGTGTTGGAAGCTTCCAGAGAAACTGTGTCTCAGAGTCTGTAGAAGGAAGGAAGGAAGAAGGAGTTTCTTAGCCTGCCTGTCTCTCACTTTCTGTTTGGTCAGCATTTGTATCAGGGCAAGCTATCTTTCTCTTGCTTAAAGCAAAGTGCCAAAGTAACGATTGAAGGATGGAGAATATTTCCGATATAGCAAAACACAGGATTGTGGTAGCAAAGTACAAAAGAAAGGGGAAGAGCTTTGCTCTTTTTGTCTTTTTGTATTTAACTTAAAAAGCTACCAGTTCACAGTCAGTCGTGAAGTTCATGGGTGTGTGGGGGATAGAAGAAGATACCTTCCTCCCAGGTCTCCAGAACTCCTCTGAAGAAGAATGGAGACTAATACAATCAACCTGGAGACTTCTGGTAGTTTGGAAGCTGGTGTGAAATCACTGAAGCACACTTCTGTTCTGCTTCTACCCACTTGTTCTTTTCCCTTTCTTTTTGTTCCTTGTATAAGATACAAGTTGGTTTCTATACCCTCACACTGAGTCTCCTCTGCCCCTCCATTTTTTTAAATAATTATTTTCCTAAACATATTCTTTAAAAAACTACAGTATCATCAAATATCTCGTTATAGTCTAGATTTACCATTTTCTTTTATATTTGTTTATTCTTTGCTTACTTATCTATTTATTTACAGATTAAGTAGGGTCCAAATTGATAGCTATGTCTCTTATTTCTCTTCTTTTGTTTTTCAATTTATGTTTCCTTCCCTTCTCACTTTCCTTGTTGTTTGGCCTTGCTTTTTATTTGTTAAAGAAATTGGAACAATTTCCCTGAATTTCCCAGTCTAGACATGGCAAGCGTGCATTTCCATGGTGTCGTTTGCCATGCTCCTCTGTCCTCATCTTTTTATCAATTGCTGTTATGTTCAGAAGCTTGGTTAGACTTAGATTTTATCTGTCTTAGGGGTAGAGGGAAGAGTACTTAATAAAGAAAATTGTGTTCTTCTATCAGAGGCACATAATATTAATATCTATTTGTCACTTGTCCTGTGATGTTGGCATCCATGGATGATTATTGTCTAGATCCATTGTTTCACTAATGGTTACAAAATGGTGATATTTTAATTTCATTCCCTTCTCAGTTATTAGTTAGAACATCCTATAAAGAAAAATTTCCCCTTATCAACTGTTTGCTAACTTAGAGCAATAGTTTGTATAGCAGGGGCAGAATAACAGTTCTACCCCTGAAGGCCCTTTAAGAGTTTTCAAAGTAACCTGCTGGTTCTCTATTATTTTTTGAAGGGAGCCAATGAATTCTCTTTGGTGTGTGTGGAAATATTTGCTGTGTTTTGATCCAGTATTGTTAATTACTGGTAGCCTACCTTTGGCTAGAGGAGACCCCTTCTGGTTGGATCCTGAGCCCTTTTAAAATGATGCTGTGTTTGCTAGGATCCTTGTTTTATAGCTTAAGAAGGGGTTTCAGGTCCATCTTTTATAGTTTCTGTCCCAGACTTGGAATCAGTCATATCTCCAATGAGCAGGGGCTTATAGTATTCAGAGACAAATGTTCTGGGTGCTATAATACACATTTATTGAGCTCTAACAATGTGTCTGAGTAGACTCTGGGAGTTGGTGATGGACAGGGAGGCCTGGCATGCTGCGATTCATGGGGTCGCAAAAAGTTGGACACAACTGAGTGACTGAACTGAACTGAACTGAACAATGTGTTTATACTTGCATTTCAGTTTTTCCCTTAAAACTATACCTGTGTAACCTGTTGCTGTAGGAATTTGACTAGATTATTTGAATTTGAATGGACAGGTGAACAGATAAAGATCAGATACCTTCCTTTTGAACTCTGTTTAGGGTTGACAGCATTTGATGGGGTGCAGCTCTTTCTGTTTTAAAACATTATTTATTTTTCATTTCAGTTTCCTTTGCTTCTGCATATTCTTTATCAATATTTGCTAAAGTGAAACTGAAGCTTCTGTGTTTTCATTCTCTTTCTTTTCCTTTCCCCCCCTCATTAGTTATCTTTCTACCCCGTGACCTTGCCTTCAGGTAAGGCTGCAGGTGTGGACTGGCTGAAGCCACCTGTGCTCTTGGCGTTGGGAGAGGAGGTTTGGAAGCACAGTCGTCAGGGTGGACGGGCTTCTGGTGTGTCCCACGCTGGTCATGGTGCATGTGGCTGCTTGTGTTCTGTGGTGGGAGACAGACTAATGCACCTCAGCACCGCGTCGGTTGCTTTTCTGCGTGTCTGGGTGACATGCGGACAAATGTAGCTGTCAGCCTCTGCGGCGGCAGGAACTGGTCAATTAGACTGGCAAGCAAAAGTAGAGAAAGATCCTTGGGGGAAGTACAACCCCTGGGAGCTTTGAAACTGAAAACAAAATCCAAACCATTTCTAATTTTTCTGTTTTGCTTTCCCCCCTATTCCTTTTAGATGCAGTCCGATCATTAAGCAATGCCGAGGACTATCTTGATGATGAAGACTCAGATTAATTCCCTTCCGGAGCTTTGAGATCTGAAACTTCTGTTGCTTTTGCCATTTCAAAACCTTGTCTTTGTCAGAAGAGTGTTGGTAACTGTAAAAAAAAAAAAGTATATATGAATGTGGCAGTATTGCACTGTGTTTGAGTAAAACTTGTAAGTGACTAGTTCTCACCTTCGGCTTGCCAATAAGTGACTGGATATTTTGCTGTATAAAGTACATGTTTGCTCACCAGAGTAGAACAAGAGGAGGTTATTTCTATTTATCAAGCTTAAAGGAATTTTAAGAATTTTTTTCTTTAAAAAAGTCAGGTTTTTTTTTTTTTTAAAGTTCTTTACCTCAAGGATCGAGATATTTTGAATGGATTTTTCAAGGGAGGAATGCTTATTATAATAATAAACCAAAAGATTTAACAAAATTGTCAGCTATTCTGACAAAAATAAACATTTTAAGAGACTTTCTTTTGTCTGTTTTATGGTATTACTCTTTGCTGATAAATAAATAAAGCTTTTTATATTTAGGTAAAGCCTGACTTGATTTTTCAAAATACATTTTGTATTATTAGCATAGAAGAATCATAGCAGCCAAATTTCTTTCTTTTTTCTGGGTAGAGTGCACTTTATTGTTGGTACAAGACGAGGTGGGGCTCCTTAATCCCCTCCCCTTCTTCAGGGGCTGTGGGATGGAAACTGTGTGGACGTGGGAGATTCTCAATGTGTTAGGGGATCAAGTTGGCATAGTAGTGGAATTTCTGTTCAGCCTTCTCTTGATATATTGGCTTTGATTAAAGTCAAGGCAGCAATCATTGAGGAGATACATTTCTAATAAAATACGTAAACTTAAGAAAAAAAACTTTATATTGTATTGGGGTATAGCCAATTAACAATGTTGTGATAATTTAAGGTGAACAGGGAAGGGACTCAGCCATACATATACATGTATCCATTCTTCCCCGAACTCCCCTCCCATCCAGGCTGCCACATGACGTTTAGTAGAGTTCCACCTTGTTGGTTATCCATTTTAAATACAGCAGTGTGTACGTGTCCATCCCAAACTTAAACATTATGAGACTTTCAGTTTTCTCTCCAATGTTATACTTATGTGAAAAAATCTAGCAGCTCGTTACAGTTTGCTTAAGGTTTGAAAGATGAACAAAAAAATTATTTCCTTATTATGAAAGATACTATAATTTTCCATAATGGAGGAGCCATGAGCCATGAGATTTTTTTCCCCATTCAGTTTTTCACTTTGGTAAGTTATTTTCTCTAAACATGGCTCTAGTTCATAATGATCTGGCTTCTTTTGATAAAACATCAGTACATTACATGTACTACTGAAGTGACAGTAGAATTTGAGATTCTAATTTTGATCACAGTAGTGATGATACTAAAGAATGACATGGCCATTGGCATTTGCCTAGATTTTAGGCCCCAGAACCAGAAGTGTGTTTTGCAGGAGGACTTTGATGCTAATTTCAGAAAACACATTGGTGAAGAGAAGGAAATGTTTGAAGAAGGAAGTGGGCTAGCTCAGGAAGTGAATAACTGCCTGTAGAAGCGTTTCTTCTGTCTGTGACTTTGGTTTTTCTCTCCATGGGTGCTTTGAGAAAGGACACCCTGAGGAGCCTGTTCAAGGTCTGTCAAATATCCCAAACAAATTTCAGTAGAAATAGATCTGTGCAAGTATTAACAGTGAGAGATGAACACAGAATCTGAAATTGGTTAAAAAAAAAAAAGGTATTCTTAAAACAAACACCTAAATTTAAACATTTTTATTGCTTTATAAGCATAGTATTGAAAATATGAAATCCTCACTGAAATTCTTTTCCCACAGAACTGTTTAAGTATTTGTTTTTTAAAATGGGAAATCTCTCAACTTTTTATTCTTGTGTACTTTGGGCCTGGGACCAGTCAGGATAGATGCCAACTAAGCACTCAATTATTATTTTTTTTAACATTGGTAGAGATAATAAATTTTGTAGAAATATAGATAATTTTAATGAAAATACTATGTACTTGATGTAGATTTATAATGCATTTGAGGTAAAGAGGCCTTCCTGTCATTGCTTTACCATTAAGAGAATTCTAGAAAGTTGGCTAACTGTATACAATTTTGTTGGCAGTGGAGGGCAGGCTTAGGTATATACTTGGTTTTTTCTGTTGAGACAGCCACAATACACAATTTGGCTGTGGTTGAAACTCCATGAGAAAATTTACTTTGCTTCTTGTTTATTCAGTTTAGCTTATCTGAGCTTTCTCAGAGATTGTTTAATGCTGAACTCAGCAACAAAATTCAGTTCCAGGAAATTGCCACCACTCAGACTCCGTGCAGAGGAGAGCTTTGATTATATTCTAGAAATGACATTGGAGGTTTTACTGCAACCCGAGCTTTCTGATAGTCACTGTGGCCTGAACGCCTTCCCAGCCATTGCATCCTTAACAAAGAAGATGCCTTCCAGCCCCTCGGGCAGTGAGAGACTGGTCCAGCTATTGGCCCAGTGTATGTGCTCAGTCGCCCACTTGTATCCGACCCTTTTTGACCCCATGGACTGTAGCCCGCCAGGCTCCTCTGTCCATGGGGATTCTCCAGGCAAGAATACTGGGGTGGGTTGCCATGCCCTCCTCCAGGGGATCTTCCTAACCGAGGGATTGAACCCAGATCTCCTGCATCGCAGGCAGATTCTTTACCATCTGAACCACCAGGGAAGCCCATTACCTCTTGCAAAAAAGCCCAGTTTTTATCGTAGGTTTCCATTTTAGTTTCTTTCCAGGACCGCTGTGTTGCAAATTATTTGTTGTCGAAGTGCCATGTATTAGAGTTGTCAGTTTCTATGTTTCTTCAGTGATCCCCCCTCACCCCTATTGGATACTTTTAAAAATAGGATTGGCTATGTTGTTACCCAAAGGGATATGTTGAGCAAAACAATGATGACCTTCTTTTTTTTTTTTTTTTTTTTCNTTTTTCATCTTAAAAACCAAACTGGAAATGCTGAAAATGAAATCTAAGATAATTTTAGGCAGAAGAAAGCAATGTTTCCATATAAGCTTTCTTCATAAATGTTTTTTACTGTGTAGAATTTCTGATTCATTGGTATTTCTTCTTTTCTTATAAATAATGCTTTCTGATAGGCTACAAGAGTCTGACATTGACACTGATCGCCCACACTTCCCTGTTAACTTTGACTTTGTCCTGAATTTTGTGTTGTAAATACGTATGCAGCAGTAATACACCCATACACTGTGGAGTCAAACTTCAAAGTGTCTGATTACTAAAAGTTGAGGTTTTGATGGGAGAAGTATTGCGAAAGACCCTGCTCTTGCTATTTTAACTGAAAATAGCTTTGGTGAACAGTTTCTTTAAGTGAAGGAAAAATTACAGACCACAAATTTATGGTTTCTGTCTCTTTATTTCTTAATAACAAGCCTGTACATCTTCTCCTCCCTTAAAATGACATAAAATTAAATAAAAGAACCATTTATTAAATGTCTATGCTGCCAGTTCTGTGCTAGGCACTTTCATAGACATGATGTCACTTGATCTTTACAGCAACCCCGGGCAGCAAACATGAATGCTCTTACCTTTTTACAGAGAAGCCAAGGTTTGAAGAAGTTAAGCAACTGTCTGAAGGTTACACTGCTTGAAGGTGGAATAGCAGGCCTGGTTGACTCCTGAGCTCACGCACCTTCTGCCTATTGCAACTGGCAGGTAACACCATTGGCAGCCTGCCAGAAAAATAGACACAGACCTGCTTCTTTTCTGACTCAGGCTTTGGATGTAGCATCAAATAAAGTGAGCTAATTTAATTAAATGTGTTATTTAACTAACCCTCAAAAAGAATTAAAAAAAAAAAAAGATCTCCTTTTTTTACCCCAGAAAAATTTTGGCAACATTTTTGGGTTCTTCCCTGCTGGCTCAGACAGTAAAGAATCTGCCTGTAATGTGGGAGACCCAAGTTCAGTCCCTGGGTTGGGAGATCCTCTGGAGAAGGGAATGGTAATCCACTCCAGTATTCTTGCCTGAAGAATCCCATGAACAGAGGAGCCTGGAAGGCCACAGTCTCTGGGGTTGCAAAGAGTCAGACATGACTGAGTGACTAACACACAGACAACCCTGGAGAAATATGATCTAATGAAGCAGGTCGTACCCTCAAGTTCCCAGAATTTCCAAGTGAATGCACAGTAGACTGAGTAAGTGTTAAAGAAGGAAAGTCAAGATTAGCAGCTATTCACCTTGCTCTGAGTTTGCACTGTTAACTTCAGCATTTCCCTCAGATAGTCTGAGAGCTCCTCACGTATTTCCACCTCACCATGAAAATAAGTGCACCCCTTCGGAAGGGTCAGGGAATGTTTCTTACACAAGTGTGTGAGCTCATCGTGGACACAGTTGTGACCTCAGCTTCCCAGGCAGTTCTGCTGTTCTTCTGCCGGTGCCCTTCTGCTTATGGTTTCCATCTAAACTTGCGCTGCTGCCAACTAGGAGCTGAGTGAGGTCAGGCTCCTGGCTGTGGCTGGAAAAGAAAGTGGAGGAATCTGAAGGTGTGAGTTAGACTGAGAGGAATCAGGAAGGAAAATCGAAGAAGAGACAAAAAGGAAAAGAGGCTAATCAGCAAAGGAGATAATGGTGACCTTCTCTAAATCACCCATAGTTCTGATATAAAAGAAGAATGCTTCAAGAAGTCACTCAGAATATGGGCTTTGGAGTGGAATTCTCTGATTCAAGTCTGGTTCTATTGCCTGTTGCTGAGTCACATGGACAGGTTACCTAAACACTCAGATTCCTTAACTATAAAACGGGAGAACAGTACCCATTGCCTAATGTTAAAAGGATTAAATAAAATGATCTATGTTGATGACTTTGGATAGTACCTGGCAAAGTAACTGCTAAATAAATGTTTGCAATACTCATAAGCTTGAATGAGGAAGTTTTCATTAAAAACAAATTGATGTGTGCAAATGAAGAATGTGTTAACAAACTTGTGTTTCAAAAGCACTGTTATTTGTGAAGAGTGGATTCCCCAAAATGCTTTTAAAATGGGGGGAGGACAGTGATACTTCCTTACGGTCATTTAGGTGTGTTTACATGTGGTAGTAGTGGTTTTCAAGATAAATATACTTTCTGTGAAGTATAGGGAAGAGTTGCGTAACTTGACCAGATTGTTACTATTATTATTAAAATAATTCAAAGATGAAGTGAGGAGATTATCCCTGCCACTGCTTCAGTTTTATATTGTTGCTTTGGAGTGGTTTGATGGGCTTGAAAGACCATAGGTCCTCTATTTGGTATGTGATGATTTCGAATTGAAAGGGTATTTGGTGTTACCATTTTGCTCTTATTTTGTTGTTGTTCAGTTGCTCAGTTGTTTTCATCTCTTTGCGAGACCATGGACTATAGCAGATCACTTTCACTGTCTCCTGGAGCTTGCTCAAACTCATGTCCATTGAGTCGGTGATGCCATCCA